CATTTGCAAAATGGGTTTAGCAGTCAAGTTTCCTCAGGCATCCGAGGTTTGAGGCTTGTTGTATGTGTTTTTTTTTTTTTTTGGTTAAAAGTTCCTTCTCTTGTTTTAAAAATTTGTTAAACAAAGTATTTTATACACAAAATATGTAAATATTAAAAAAAAAGTTAAAAAAGAAACTTACTATTTAAGTATATTTATATTTTTTTATTCATTTAAAAATATATATAAGAAATTTACTTATATATTGATATGTAATTTTGTTTTAAGGATATAGATGTGTGAATTTTTTAAAAAAATGAAAAAGTAAGATATTTTTAAACGTCCAACCCAACCACTCATATTTGTAATTAAGAGAAAATTTTCTTTATATAAATAAGTGAAATTAAAAATTAAAAAAAAGCAAGAAAATAAAATATATATGTCAATGGAATATTTAAACTCTAATTTTCTCAAATTAAGAAACTTTTAAATAAGTCAGAAACTATTTAAAATTTTTCAATTCTTTTAAATATATKTGTTGGTGTGATATTAAACTCTTTAATTTTTAAGTGGTCACTATTGTTTCCAACATGAGAAATTCATTTCATTTGTTGCAGTTCCTTTGGTTTAATTGTCATTATATTTTTTTCATTAATTATTCTACGTATATCTTTTTTTTTTAGATTTGATTCTTTTTCTTTAATATTATTTTTAATTTGAATTATTTAGAGTCTATCTCTTTAATATTATTTTTAATTTGAATTATCTAGAGTCTATCGACAATTTGAATATTAAGTGTATAAGATATTTTTCTTTAAGTTTCTATGATATATATTATAAATTTGAGGTTATTTTAAATATAATAGTAGCAAGAAAAAATATCTTCAACAAAAATTATAGATCCGCTATTTACTGAATTTTATAAAAAGTTTTTCTAAATAAAAATTTTAGATCCGCCGCTACTGTGTTGAACTATGCTCGTTCGTTTTGGTGGATTACTGCATTTTATATTTCAGGTTCAAACAAGAATATTAAATGATATTTGAAAAAAAGAAAAACAGTATAACGTATATTGATGTGCATCCAAACAAATGAGAAAGAGACTGGAACCAATATCCCCAAGGATATAACTTTTTTTAGTAGATATTACACTATTACACTACAAATAATATATTTCGAAAAAAAGAACATATAAATAATATATTAGAATTAAAAAAAAACAGACACATTCAAAAGTCAACTATATCCCTGTATGAAAACAAAATGTTGTTTTCGACCAATTTCTTAAGCCGCCTAAACTCAATAACCTGTGGGGAATACGCACTCTCCATAACCTGACACCACAAAACAACACCGTTCATTAGCTAAATAATTTTTAAAATTAGATATTAAAATAAATAAAAAATTTAAATTGGTAATGATACTTACTTGGAGGTTGACTAACGACGTAAGCAGCTCCTCCGAAATAGCACGTACCACGGGCACGAGCGTTCTTCTGATAATAACTGTTGAAAGCGTACGAAGCATGGACTTCGAGCGAGTTAGAATTGTAACACATTGAACCCGGTTGGATGGAGCGACAATCAGCACCTCCTTCCCCACACGCATAATCCAACCCCGCTTGGAGCTTTTCTACCCCAGCATTTATGTTGGCCACGCACCAAGTTTGACCTCGGGACGACGGTGTCAAGTCCCCGGACGGCACCTGGGCCTTGCTTCCATTGACCGACGTTTGAGGTCCTCCTTGGACGTGGGCACGCGTGAGTGGAATATCATACACTCTCTGTTCATTGGGATAGAAGAGGCCGTAATTCCTCTCAGATGTGGGACCCGATTTCTTATTCTCATTGAAGAGTGCGAACAAGAAGACTTTGAGTGAGTCTTGGGGTCTCAACGGGGTCCCACCACCAGTCAGAACTCTCTGCACCAAATTGCCATTATACGACGCCGCATTCTCCTCAGTTGCTCCCACTTCCTTCGTGTCTCCCTTCGACGGCCATCCCGTCTCTGTAACCACCAGCTTAACGTCGTCGTATTTAAGCGCCGACATGGCTGCATAAACCGCGTCAACTTGAGCCTCGAAAAGGCTCGAGTATCTCAAGCCGTTGCCGGAATCCACAACGCCGGGGCCATCCCGAAGGAGAGCGTAGTCGAGGGAGATCTTATCGGAGTTATCCATGTAGGCGAAGAAGGGGTAGACGTTAACCATGAGGTAGGATTGGGTGCGGCGGAGGAAATCGAGCATGGGCTTGATGACGGGCTCGATGAGGTCCTCTTGGAAGGAGCCGGAAGAAGTCGGGTAGGAGGATCCGAGAGCGGAGAGAGCGATGGGAGAGGAGATTTTGATGGAGCCGCTGAGGTTGTACTTCTCAAGGGAAGCGTGGAGGTTGTTCATGGCCGGGACCAAGAACTGCGTGGAGTGGTTGGGGTCCACGAAGACTTCGTTGCCGACGGCGATGGCTTCGATTTTGGTGGTCGGGTAGAAACGGGCTATGTTGGTCTGGACCCATTGGTCGGTGAAGGACTGGGCGGCGGCGGCGGAGGAGAGAAGCTCGTTGGGGAGAGCGACGACGGCGGATATGCCGGAGTTCGCGAGGGCGGCGAGGACGGTGGAGTCGGCGTCGAAGAGTTTGATCCGGTCGATTCCTTGGGCTTTTAGGAGCTCAACAACTTTGGGGGGCGGCGGTAGGTTGTCGGCAATTCGGCCGTAGTTCACTCCAACCCATCCCTCATCTGCGAGAGCGACGGCGGAGAGAAAAAGGTAGAGGAAAGAGTAGAAGGCGGCCATGATTTGCTTGAGAATTGCAGAGAGAGTTTTTTCACTTTTCAACGAGAATCGGCCTCCAAACTCTGATTTTAAGGGACAGAAAGTGGGAAGAGGGGGAAAAAGAGAGAAGACGGCCAACCACTCTTCTTGGTGGGACCCACCCATTAAAAATAGGAAAATTATTAATGATATCCAATCAAATAAATGAATTTAAAACTTTTCCTTTTTTTTCTTTTTGTTATCGTTTTCCTAATGGTTTTCCTATTTTGAAATTTTTATTTATCGTTCCACAAGCCAAAATAACATTGGAAAAAAAATGGTAATATAAATTGTTTTGAAAGTTTCCTATTCGATGTAATTGTGTAGGAATTATGTTTTCAAGGTGCGAGAAATCTTTGCAACGTAAATTAAAAAAATAAAAAATAAAAATAACGTGAAGAGTCCAACAAATCCACCCCGTGACAGAAAATCGGTTTGTTTGTTTGGCCACAAAGCGCAACGGGCGGGAGGGGAAAGCCACCTACTTGACCGTTTACGAATCAGGAAAAAGAAAAGTGTAATGTAATTGTAATGTGTTACTCTCAATTTCTAAGAGCCGTTTATTTCTTTCTACTGGTTGCATCCGACGGTTTAAATTTTCTTGATTGATGGCCTACTTCCAACTGATCCTCGTTATCTTTCCCAATCCAAAAATGTGCCCCTTTTTTGTTTTGCTCACGTACGGATCTTTTCCCTTTCGAAAAAAACATATTTTTTCCTGAAGTAGAAAAAATAAAACACATTTCCTTTTTACTTTTATAAAACTTCTATACTTATTTTTTTTCCAATATCTATACTTCTTTTTTCCAATTTTGGCACTTATTTCCTTTTAATTTTCATTCTTTTAAAGGTCTATTTACGGACATTTTTCTGATATTATAAAAAAATAATTATTTTGTTAAATATAATTGTCTACAAACTATTTTTAAAAATACTTACACTTTCTTATCATTGGCACCTCTATTTTTGTTTTTTAGTACAACATGTTAGAGTGGGGGATTCAAGTTGGGAGTATGTGTCAATTCACCTGTACTAATATACAAATAAAAATATATATTTTTTCTGAATGGATCCATATATTTGGAAAGAAAATTACTCTACTATGTTCCAACTTTTTAAATTTTCAACGTTATTTAAAAAAGTTTTAGACATTTTCGCTTACTTCACTCCTCTATTTTCATTTGCATAACTTTTCTCCATTCGAACTAAATTTCTTCATTTTTTGTAACATAAGGTTTGAATTTTAATGGTGTGCACTTAACTATTTAAATTATGTATGACTTTTTCATCTATTTTTATTTTTATTATTTTTCTATTCCTTTATAATAATTTCATATATTTTTTCTTGAATACAGAAAAATATTTGAATCTAATCCTTTCATGAAAAAGTAAATCTCTTACTATCTTATATTTAATTATATGTATTTTTATAAACTTTTATTATTTGATCATGTATACACTTTGTCCTGTTCATTTTGAGTAAAAATATTGTTCAACTTCAAGTTTAGTTGAAAATTTTGCTTCAAATGAATGGCTTGCCCAAAATACAATTCAATAACATTATTTTTCAATTTAGTTCCTGACATATTATCTTTTAATATATGTAAAGTTATCCTACATATTTTATTATCGAATATTTCTACATCTAGTAAAAAAAATTGTGTATCTATCCAAATTGGATTGCCAACCAGCATTTTTTAAATTATAATGGCATCTAATTTACTCAATCAATTGCAATTTCAATACTTGATGAGAATTGTGAGGACTGAAAATCAAATTATTTTGATATCGAGATATGATATATGGGAGATGTTGTGGGTAAAAGATAACAGCATAAGCGAACCGTGCGGGCCGACCCGAGCAGGTCTCGGCCCAAAGCCGGGCCCCACCCTCTGTCTTTCAATGGTCGGCCAGACCTAGGGCTATTGTTTTCCCTGCGTGTGGGCCCACGGAATCTGAAATCTAGGATGATCGACTACGAAACCCTAGGGGGTCATTCAACTATAAATAGGGAGGGGGTCACCTCTCCAAGGTAAGCCAAGACTACACTCTCAAGTCTCTTACTTGTTTAAGTAATCTCTCCTTTTGCTAACTTAGACATCGGAACCACTGTGACTGAAGTCACACCAGGTTAGGGTTTTTGTTCTATTTTGCAGGTATTCGATCCTGAAGTACTCCAGTTGGTGCCGGAAATGGAGAGAACCGATCTACCAGAATCCCAGCATCAACATTTGGCGTCGTTTGTGGGAACGATACAAAGCACGTTCGAACAAGCAACATGAACCCAGAAGAGAGCCTGCGGTGTTCCAATGGTGACTGCCAGCCGAGGAGGAGGCTGAACATGGACGACCCCCTGAGTGGAGGTGTAACGCCCCGCGTTCTCTGACTCGTCTTTTTAGAGATAAATAGTGTCTTTCGATTTTTTTCCCTAAGCTGATAACCTTAATTCTTGGATTTTATAATTTTGAAATTCTAATTTTTGGCTAAAGTAGAATTAAGTTTAATTTCATTGGATTGAGATAATTTAAGTTCGACCTGTGTAGGAGATTTTTAGTTAAATCTTAAATTCACGAGTTTTAGGATTTTCCTTCCTAAATTCTACTTTACTTTGAATTATTATTCTTGGCTATTAGAGTTTAAGTTGGCTATTTTATTTCAGGTCGTTGTGGGTTGTATTTGATTTCTAAAGTGAAATTTTGGGCTTGTTGTTTTGGGCCTCCTTTAAGATTTGGGGTTTGGGCTATAAGTTTTAAAACAAAGTAAAAGAAAAAAAAAAGGAAACCCTAAATCTAAATCTTTCACCTTTCTTCTTCATCTTCTTATTCTTCCCCACCGCTGCCCACCGCCCCAACAGCCTTCATCGCCGGCGACTACACCTCACGGCAGCGTTCTTCGGTGGCGGCGCCTCCTCGAATCAGCAGCAGCCCGACCCTCGGCGACCTATTCGGCGGC